GGGAGGGAAGTGGACAGGGCCATCATAACTTCCTGGGGTGGGGAAAACACTTGACATTAGAGCAATGTATACATTAAAAACTTCTGCAAGTATTTTTGCACAACTTTGGTTGAGGTTTCACACAGAACACTGCATTTTAAAAATTTCTGTGTTAAAAACCAGTCATGTATAAAGCAAGCATGTCAGGGGACATGGTTCTAGCTTAGCCTTTCCCCTGATGTATTACATTTCTGTGTGCAAGGCTTTTTGTGAAGTAGTACAGTCCCAATATCATCCCCCCCCCAATCATATGCATTTTCTAAACTATGCAGTGGTTTTATGTGGGTTTGGAAGATTCTGTGGTTTTTCCTTCTGACCTATGAGCATCAAAAATCTACCAGCCTCCACAGTGAGGGGATTTCCTTAGTTACTTTCAACTTAGCTGTCAAAAAGTTTACATTTTTATTTCCAATTGAGACTTTAACTGCAAATTACAGATAAATGGAAGTGTTTTATTGTAACTCAGATGCAGAATTCAAAAAAAGTTCATTCCCACACTTTGTGTTCAAGATCAAGTTAATTTCCTTCACCTTCATTTTTGTAAAAAATTGGTAAAAAGTGATATTATAAAAGAGAAGAAGAATCACAGCAATAAATTAAGAAGGTAAAAAACATTCAGGAGGGAAAAAGAATCTAGGAGCAACACTGAAAGAGAAAAGCTAAAGCAGATTTAAAATAGGCTGTCCTTTATAAAGGTGCTTTTAAAATGCTTAACACAAGTAGCAGCATGGAAAAGTCATAAATACAAGTGCACGTTTGTCCCTCATGAAGCGTCGTCTTCTTTAACTAACCAAAGCAGTAGTACTCATCAGACTCAATCTTGGGGTGTTTATGTATGGACTGTGAGTCGTCTATAAAAGAAGAGTCACTGAACTGGTCCATGTCTGAAGGTGTGTGTCGCCCAGGGACATCATCTGCCAAAGTGTCCAGATAACTCCCCACGGAGATGCCATCCAGTCCGTCACTACCGTCCTGCAAACTGTTGTAGCTGCCTCTCAGGGAGGTCTCTTGACTCTCCAGAAGGCTGCAGAGGCTGCCACTCAGGCTGCTGCCTCTGCTAGCGATGGCTCCTTTCTCTTCCATCATCCACTTGATCGATTCAATGCTCTCATTGATGACCAGCAGCTGGCGCATGAGCTTCACGTCAGTGGCTCGGAGATCAACCTGCGTGTGAAAAAGCAAAACGTGTGCTGTATTAGGTACATACATGCACATACCTACATACCCCTGGGGTTATAATGATTTTGGGTGAAGGCACCTTGGTTGGGAACAATCTTCCCAGAGATAACCACTTGGCCCCTTCTCTGTTGTCCTTCAAGTGCCTGATAAACTCAATCGTACTTGCCTGGGCTTTTAATAACCATTTTGTTTGCTGCCAGTGCTACCATTAAAAAAGACCTCACAGTGATTTTTGTGTGTGTGTGTGGCTGTTTTAGTTCACAGTTCTATTTGGGGGAGGGAGGAGAGAAGCATCTTAAAAGTGTCTTAAAAGGCGAGCTGCAATCAAAACAATTATTCAAAATAACCAAAGAATCCCGTTTTGTGAGACCAAAGTCTTTCAAAGGAAACATTAACCTTTTTACCCATGAATCATGTTGATCTCATGCCTAGATATTGCTGCTGATGGGATTCTAAAGATGGCTTAGTTAGAATTAGCCACGTGGAAGCTGCCAATGAAAGGCTGGACCAGCCACTTAAAATACTTTCAGCAAGACAGAGACAACAGTGGCTCTGTCCATGCTGTGAGAATATCATTAATATTTACAATATGTCAGGAATGAGGCAGAGTAGGATTTTCAAAGTCCTAAAGGACGAGCCTAATTAACTCTGTTTTTTCTGGGATGGTATCAGTTAAATTCTCATTAGCATAAAGAGAGGCAGAATTAGGCCAAGGCTGAAATTAACA